GCAGCAGCAACAACAACATCAAGAACTGCATCAGAAGATACAAGAAAAGCAACATTGGCAGCAGCAGCAGCAGCAACAACAACATCAAGAACTGCATCAGAAGATACAAGAAAAGCAACATTTGCGGCAGCAGCAGCAGCAGCAGCAACAACATCATCAAGAACTGCATCAGAATTTACAAGAAAAGCAAAATTTGCGGCAGCAGCAGCAACAACGACAACAACAGCAGGAACTGCATCAAAAGATACAAAAAAAGCAACATTTGCAGCGGCAGCAGCAACAACAACAGCACAAAGAACTGCATCAGAAGATACAAAAAAAGCAACATTTGCAGCAGCAGCAGCCTCAGCAACAACATCATCACCAACATCATCATCAGCAGCAGCAGCAGCAACAACAACAACATAGGCCTATATACCGGCGACAGGCAAACATGCAATCTAGCGCGACAAACAGCAGGCGTCGTGACGCAGAAACTGCTGCGTCAAACCTGTACGAGAACGTGAAAGCCGACGCGGTCGTTGACGCTGGCGGTAGCGTCAACGGTGACATCGAGCTCGGTGACCGTTTATCCCGCCTTCCGGTTCCTGTTAACGTACCCTATAAGCACGAGGATGCGCGTCCGGTGTATATGGACGCAGCAAACGGCGAGCTGCCCAGTATTGTCCTTACGACACACTAAAGCCGCTGAACTGTACCTAGTATCTGGGAAGCTTTTTATTTGCGCGTGAAACGGTTTTGTTTCGTGTGTGTTCATTTGCGCGTGTGTGGTTTTTATCACCAAAACACGAGTTTGGTGATATTGCGTCATGTATAATATACACGAATGCAGCTGTTATGTGAATTACAAATTATTGTATAATGCATAACGTATAATATATAATGTATAATGCATAATGTATAATGTACAATGTATAATGTATAATGTATAATGTACAATGTATAATGTATAATGTATAATGTATAATGTATAATGTGAAATGCGTAATGTATAATGTATAATGTATAATGTATAATATATAATGTATAGGCCTAATGTATAATGTATAATGTATAACTTATAGCGTATAACGCATAATGTATAATGTATAATGAATAATGGAAAATGTATAATGAATAATGTATAATGTATAATGAATAATGGAAAATGTATAATGAATAATGTATAATGTATGTATATGTGTAATTGATCCCCTAGTTTGAGATTTTGCGCCCCTCCTTTCGCCCACCGTCGGAAACATTAGCCGCCACCGAATCGCACCGTTGGGGAGAGGAGGGGAGGGTCAGCTCCTGTTATGGGTATTCTCTGGAGCAACCCTTGATGCAACTTCGTAAAATCCGTTAATAACATACAGCAGTAAATTTAAACCATTTATAAATGTGATTACGGCAAGCATAAATTTAATTAATGCACAGTGTAAATGTCATGTATATGTACATAACAATGAGTATCTTAAATTAGAATATTAATATGGTATTCTAAAGACACAGCCGCATTTTGAAGTGTTTACATTGAATATTTCGTTATTCGTATGGGCAATATACCCAATATAAGCTAATATTTGCAAAGTAAATTACTGCATAAATAGCACACGCTTCCTCAAAACTAACAGAACTCTATCGCCTATACTGGCTTTAACTCCGTACGTCATAAACTTCAATTCCCCGTTTCTCTATTGTCATTCTTCCTTCGGCATTTTTTAAACGCTGTCTACAACAAACCCGCTTTAATAACGATGAATCATGTGCTACACAAAACCACGTGCACTAGCTGTATCATGGAGCTTTGCGCGGCATTTACGATACAGCGTGTTTATATATGCAGTCTTCATAGTCATTCTACGGTTTACGTGTCTTTGTAGACGGCATTGCATTGTAGTAAGGGCACAAATAAAGACTTAATTAGGATAGCACATATTACGCTCGTAGACTTGAGAAACAGAAGCAGTTTCCCTGCTATTTCCGCACTTCTCCTGTGCGCGAATGCGCCTTAGTTGAAAACCAGTTTGAGGTCAGCAACAAAAGACAAACGCGTAACGCCCATGGAGAGCAATACCTCACGTGCAGAGGCAGCGCCCTATGTTGTACGCCGCAATACCACGGGGCGTGACGGCACGTACATCAGTATCCGTATTAGAAATACACAGATAGTCAGTCGTACGGGTGCTTAGGCGACTACTGTCTGGCATCCTGCCGTCTCAGCTATTGGCGATGATAGGCGATTCCAACGCACTACAAATCTGAAGATATAGATCCCTGACAGCGTCAGCAGACGTTATACACTAAACTAGACAACGCCTAAAAGAACTTGTATGGACTTCATCGTTAGCAGTAAGTAATCGTTATCATTGAGTAAGATACAGTAGGTAGGCCTATATGGTAGAAGCACGAAGTGGAATTATAGTTATGTGGTAAATAGATTGAGCAAATTAACTGCCTACATTGCTAAGCGATCTGTCATATGAGGTTTGATGGTGAGTAGGAGGAAGTACTGTATTCATGCATGCGCACATGTTAGATCGCTGTTACACTCTACATGTTCATATATTAGTTATATTAGTTCAGCAGGAAAACCCCTTAAATTTCATTTGTAAATATTTCTTATCTTATTGTAGGATAATTGGTAACTAACATATATGGCTACTGCTATATACACCTACAATGAGTCATCAAATGAATAGATGCTATTGCAGGCAGGGACGATCGCAATATAGCCATCGGTAACCGATAGTGATAAACATAAATCAGAGCGATACTGAAAGATTATTAACTATAATAATCGATTCACGTAGTATCGACAAACGTAGCATGGAGTCATATAAAATTTACAGATATTTCCAGAAATCCGCTGAAACCCGTTTCAATACGCAGAAACACATCTACACACGATCAAAATACAGCGATTCACGCAGAGAGATTAAATTAGTAGATTACGGGACTTCCCTGACACCTAAGCGCATTAGCTGATACTGCACTGTTCATCGCCCTAAACATCGTATTACTATAGTAACACGTTGCTTGTTAGCTAGCATATCTACTCTATTTCTTCACGTACTAGCACTTGAGAGGCAGGTAAACACTCAAATTTGAAGTCAAAAAATTTCTTAACCTAGTAAGGGGAATTACATACAGGTAATATCATATTAATATTATTCTTATATCGATTTACTATAACTTGATATATATATATATAGTCAATAGCAAAATAGTTGATTTGCTCAATACCACATATAATAATACCACTCTTACCACATAATAATATTCTTAATACATCACAGTAAACAACTCTAAATTTACAACTTCATTTAACCTTATTTAGTTTTCTGCTATGCTGGAATTGACATTCCAATGAGTAACGCTTGTACGCTTGATTTACTGGAGAATTTCCAACAGTTTGACTTCTACATAATGGAAACGAAACCTGGGATGGAGAAGAACGACGAAGCCAATGCACCCGCAGCCTGTGATCACAAGAACAACGAGACGGAGGCAAACATTACCACAGAGAGCAAAGATACAAAATCCGAATCTACCGACAAAGAAAAGCAATCAACAAGCGTGAGCGGGCAGGGAACAGGGGCAGATGAAGCAAGCAGCGATATTGGGAAAAGACTTCATGAAATGGAAGAGCTGGTAAAAGGCCGCTGTGAAGAACACGATCAGATGATGAAGACTAAGGATGGTATGTATGGAAGGAAATTATAGCTAGCGCTGTCGTTAAATGTAACAAAATATATAACACGAATTCCTATTGCAAGTAAACGCAGCGCTCTGCAACACGGTATCACGTGAATATTCTTATCTGAGGCGAAGGAACTGGTTCGAAGATAATATAAAAAGAGTATGCGTGAGTGATTATATAGAAGGATAAATGTCATTGGAATGGCATGGTGGATGGTGGATGGGTATTGATGGCATGGAGGGCATGGATGGATAGATGTGGTATGGATGGATAATGATGGATGGTGGCTCGTGATGGGATAATGAATGGAATGAGATGGATAGGAATGAGATGGTAGTGGAATGATGGAATGACTATGATGGATGGATGGAATGAATTGGCATAATGGATGGCATGGATGGATGGATGGATGTATGGCATGGATGGGAATGGATGGATGGGATGGATGGATGGATGGATTGATGAGTGGATGGATGATAAATGAATGGATGATGGCATGGCATGGACGGACGGTGGTATGAGGATGGATGGATGAATGGTATGAAATGGAATGAATGGTGAATGGATGGATGGTAGATGGGACCGGCGAACGACTGAGGCACGGCATGGATGATGGAATAAATATGTGCGTGGGTGGATTTTTGATGGATGGATGGATGATGGAGGGATTAGTAGATGAGATGGACGGATATGGATGAATGGAATGGAATGGGTGGATGAATGCGATGGAGGGATTAATGAAATGGATGGATGGATATATATATAAATATTATATTATATGAGACAGATAGATTAATAGTAGGATATATGGATATGGATAATATATATATCTAATATATATATTATATATATATATTATTATCTATATTAAGAAGAGAGAGAGAGAGAGAGAGTGAATAGATGAGTAGGTGATATGTAGAATGATTAGTTAGATAGACAGAACAGGAGATGATAGATAGATAGATGATAGATAGATAGTAGATAGATAGATAGATAGATAGATAGATAGTATATAGATGGTAATGGAGATAGTAGATAGATGAGAGGAGAAGAGAGAGATAGAGAGAGGAGAGAGAGGAGAGTAGATAGTAGATAGATAGTAGATAGATAGATAGATAGATAGATAGATGATAGATAGATAGATACGATAGATGATAAGAGAGCATAGATAGATAGATAGATAGTTAGTAGCTAGTAGATAGATAGATAGGTAGGTAAGATGGATAGTTTTAAGTAGGCCACACGACAGACAGACAGAACAGATAGTGATATATAGATAGATAGATGATTAGATAGATTAGATAGGATAGATAGACTTAATTGGGTAATGAGAGAGAGAGTTAGAGAGGTGAGAAGACGAGTGGAAGGAAAGCTGGAGGGACATCAGACTAGCTAGGAGGAATCTAGATATACTGTTTTTGTACGTCCATACAGTTGCTGCGCGTCATATGACTATCCTAGCCACGAATGTAAACTATGACATACTATGCCGGATGTATCTATAATGTATTAATCTTAATTAAAACGATATTATTAGAGTACTCAGCAAGTTAGAAGTAGCGGAAATATAGTAGCTAACTAGAGCACAATACATGCAATGCCAGTAAGATGTTTAATTCTACGCTTTTGAGCCAATCGGTTGGCATATTAGAACCAGTTAATTAAAATTACTAATGGTAGGCAGCAAAAAGTTCTGACTCGCCACACACAAATCACAAATCATAAGCGCACACCACAAACACACCACGCAACACCCACAAACAACACAACACAAACACACACAACCACACACACACACACCCAACCACACACACACACACACACACACAACACACACACACACACACAGCACAACACACAACACAAACAAGCACGGCACGCGTGCGCGAAACACACCACGCAAGCACGTGCGCAAACCAACAACACACCCCACACCACACACCAACACCACACACACACACGCGCGAGCACACACACACACACACAACAACACACACCCCACACAACAACAGCGCGCGCGCGGCGGCCACAACAACTACAACACACAACCACACCCCCCCGCTAACACACGACACACACACACACAAACAAACACAACAACACAACACTATACCACACACACAACAGACACACACACACCACACACACTATACACACACATCAGAAACACAACACACAACACACACAACACCACAACAACACACAAGACAAACAAACAGAGAAAGAGAGAAGAGAGAGAGAAGAGGACAGAGAGAGAGAGGAGAAGAGACGAGGAGAGAGCAGAGATCGAAGAAAGAGAGAGAGAGAGAGAGAGAGGAGAGAGATGAGAGAGAGAGAGAGAGAGAGAGCGATAGGAGAAGAGACGAGCGGAGGAAGAGAGAGAAGGTGAGAGGGGGAGAAAGAGAGAGATGAGGAGATGAGAGAAAAGAAGGGAGCAGAGAGAGAGCGAGAGAGATGGGTGGTGGAGAAACCATGCGGGATGATGAGTGTGTGAGTGAGATAGAGGGAGGGAGAGACACACAGACATGCGTGTATTTAGAAATCGCAATACAACAGCCTTTTCCGTTTCCCAGAGCAAGTGGATAACCTAACAGAACTACTGCTGTCACTACAAGAAAATCAACCAGAAAAGAGAAACGAAGAAGGTAATTACAATCAAGCAGACGCGTATATCGAGTGCTTACGGGTAGGTCATTCTTTGACAGAGTACCAAATCAGACTAAAACCGATCCTGTCATACACTGATCGATCCAGCATGCATGCAGGGACAGCTCTCCTAGAATTCAGGAAACATCATGAAAATGTGCGTAACAAACGTGAATAGGTTAAATAATTGTGATCAATAAGAGATTATCCGAACTAAAATCAATGAGAGCTAGGCTAATCAAACGATTATACAGTACTTCCAACCGAATCTTATTCTACAAATCATATATTTCTTCAACAAGCTCCTACAATCATCGCAATAACTTACCAAGTTAATTGTGTTTAAATAGATTTTCTTCGTGATTGAATCTTGTGTTTGATGGAATAATGGACTGGCCATAATAGAAAAGCACAGTGATTTCTGATCACTTCTAAGTTTAATTATTACCGAATTCTATACAATTTATAGATAAGCTGTTTCAAGTCGCGTTTACGTTGGATTTTCCCCCTGTTCAATTGGGGAGTTTGGACAACGGTTAACTGATTCCGCAAGTGGCATAGCTTGCGATTATTATTAAAAGAGGGCTGCTGTGCAAAATAGTTGGTGGTTCAGATATTACTGATTTCATATGAAATCGAACTGGCGGTTACGGATTGATTCGCGAAAAAAAGCAATGCTTTTAGTAGTTTTGGAATTTATTAAAAACTAAGATAGGTTATAGCGTTGATGGCTTTCCATATAAAGCTACCTCTAATGAGAAATGAGGTTTTTAGGCGTTTTAACTTTACAACAAAGCTCATTTTCCACATGCGAACTTAAAACTACACCGATAGAGAATTATACGATAAGGCCAATAGAATTATGAAAGTGGCATTCTGCAAGAAATTTAAATAACAAGCACCTGCTCTTTGTAAGTCTTGCCCGTACATGGAGTTGCTTGAGCTCGCTACATGAGTCCTAAACCAATCCGACTGCCTTCCACCCATTGTGCCTATAAACTGTATTATACACTATTGCACATTTAATTTTTCTTAACTAATCTTTCTAACACTCATTTTAGTTTTAACATTTCCAAAAAAATTATTTCTAGTCATAAAGGACAGACTAGACAAGCTGCATCAGCTACAGGATTGCCTGCAAAACATGTTCACCGAGATGGATAGCATGTTGCTGCAGCGGACGGAGGAAGGAGAGAACATCCGCCATTTGATGGAGGAGATCATTCCCAGCTCGCCAGATGTCGCTCAGAAAGTGAGTCATTACCACATCAGCAATGATACATCGGTTCCGTGATAGGTTCCATGATGTGACATCGGGGTGAGGTGTGAAAAATGGGGAAACATACAGTGAGATAGAGTGATAGCTAGCTAGCTAAATAGATTCATTTAATGAGTTCAAGTTTCATTTATTCTTTTGCACTTTCTAATTAAATAATAATTAAAAAAAATATAATAAATGAGTTTTTAGTGTGAGCTAATCAAAAAAACACATTCTTTACAATTCAGCTGATATAATCACTGTGTCACTGCATCACTGTAATAAACCGTGATGAATAAATGATGTACAACCAACCAATGATTATAACTTTACAGGAATCAAAGGAAAAGGGGTCAACAGATCCTGGAATTTCAACCACAAAAGATGAACAATCAGTGGCGTCACCGGAAACTGGAGAATAATATATTGATATTTCGTCAGATGTGACATATTATCGACATATAAACACAAAATGTATTGTTACCGTGGTGTGTAATTGGACATATCATTTGAGCCGCGATATCTTCAATGGCAGCAATCATACATTGTAACGGAACTATACTTTCATATATATGATTAGCGGTTGGTAATAATATATACGTGAAGTAAGCTACTTTAGAGCCAGTTGCTTTGCGCCATTGCTATATACCAAACGGACAAATATACTTGCTCTATTCAATCGAAATACCATAGTCTGTTAAAGGCCTGAGATGTGAGCGATTTGATATATATTATAATCGTATTAGACTATATATATGTCGCTAAATTACATTTATGAGAATACGAATAGAGACTGTGTATCACACAGTATATTTGTACATGTGACTACAAATGTATACAGCTGTAGAATGTCAGAATGATATATATAACTATACTAAGATTAAAACACACTGATTAATTTTGACTCCAGGCTCTTTAATTACGAATATAATATACGATATGCTTACTTTCTATTACAAAACATGGTGCTAAGGAGATTTAGAGCTTGTTTAGACGAACCCAGATCTCTATTCTGTAAACGGTTCGTTTTATGACAATAAAAACGCTGTCACATAAAGAATAGCACGCGTATTGGGCACCAGTCCTAGACACGCGACCCGGGCGTTAGTGAAGTATCTGTGCGTATATAGAAAATTAAAATGAAAAATTACTAAGAAATTGGATATCGACGTATGAATAAAGTTTGTTTACTTGATACTTAATAAAAGTCGCAAAACATTCTGCGGGGAAGTAATAACAATTAAATGTATATACCTGTTAAATGTATTACCTACAGTAGTTCGCAACCCTAATTCCTGATGTTCACGGTTTCAATAATTTCACGCAAATTCAGTTAAAATGTTCATCCATACATGTTCACACACCGCACGCACGCCCCTGTGCACAAACTCATAAGAAATATATATTTTATTTATTTGTTTGTTTAGCATTTGAACGGGTTTTTTTACGTGGCATTATTAGGCGATAGAGATTACGTAAACATTAAGACTTTGTTAGTAAATACAATCTGTATTTAATTACCAAAATACAATATGCATTTAATTACCAAAATTTCATTATTATTATAACGGCCCAAGTGACTGTTATTATGATAAACATACAAACAACTATAATTTTTAAAACCGTGTTTTTATTTATTTATTATTTCTATTCAGGGATTAAAATTGAAATTCAGTATATAGTATATATATATAGGATACGTATTTAAGTGAAAATAATGGTGACCCGAAGAATAGAGAAATTTTCATAGAGAGTATAAAATCATGCCCAAAACTAATAAAGCGCTGCAGAGAAATAAATGCACTGTGGATATGTATGATCCTATCATGATCAAATCTATTTGTCATGGACGGCAGCATTATTGAAAAAATCTTATACTATCAGAACCTATTCAGCGATTTTTAAATGCACACGCATGAATTAATTTTACATTTATTATAATTATTTTGGCGTTTTCTTTTTTTGTTTCATCACTATCCGTTCTGCATGCTATAGAGAAACGTGACGTGATTTCTGATTATCGTGCTGCTTATTAGTGTGTTGCGTTTGTCAGGGTGGTTATTGTGAAATCTGATAATATAGGTAATATTATTGTAAGTGTATCATATATATTCCTATACGTGTATAGGACTTCTGTAAGTGTTCTATACGTGTTTTCTATAAGGGTTCTATAAGTGCAACCAGGACGCCTATAAGTGTGTATGACTCCTCCAAGTGTGTGTGTGAATAATATATAGTGTATAATATAGATATTATACAATATACACTATACATGAGTCAACACACTTACAGGAGTCATATTATATTAGTTATATAATATATATAGATATATAGATATTGTAACATCTGTTTTGCACGTGTTACATGAATTAGTCAGCGAGGCTAGACTAGGGGTTGTTGTAGTAATAGTCTGGGTAGATGGAGCGTCGCGCATCTTGTTGCGGCTACATTGATGTACTAGGGAGAATCGTAAACGTTTTTAGGTTGGGGGTTTCTACGGTGATTGTGAAATGGGGGTAGGACGCCGTCTGTGAGAACGGGTACATGTGCGTGCAGGATGTATGAGTTTTGGGGGGAATATATAGAACAGATATGTAAGAGTCGAGAGATTCTGATTCTGGTCGCGAGAGAAAGCGCACGCGCGTGCCACGCGCGTGTGCGTGGTTTTGTGTCTCTTTGTGCGATGTGTCTACACTGTATGAGTTATTAAATAATATTCCGGTTACAACACAAATTTGGCTTTATGTCATCATTCCAGTTTACAATATTTTACACTCCTGGCATTATTATAGGCACTCAACCCACGCGACAGTGCGCGGTGTTGCAATATATTATTGATGTTTGTTGCTTCGTGTGTGTGTGTGTGTGTGTGTGTGTGTGTGTGTGTGTGTGTGTGTGTGTGTGTGTGTGTGTGTGTGTGTGTGTGTGTGTGTGTGTGTGTGTGTGTGTGTGTGTGTGTGTGTAGTGTGTGTGTGTCGTCGCGTCGTCGTGTGTGTGTGTGTGTGTCGCGTCGTGTGTGTGTGTGTGTGTGTGTGTGTGTGTGTGTGTGTGTGTGTGTGTGTGTGTGTGTGTGTGTGTGTGTGTGTGTGTGTGTGGTGTGTGTGTGTGTGTGATCACTAGGCTCACGTATATCTGCGTATGAGAAGAACGAGTTAATGCGTTGAAAACACAATCGACCACATGTATTATTACGCGAAATAATATATATGTATATACGCGTATTTAACAATCGCTTCTTATGGTACCACGATGGCAAATTCGCCAATCAGCGTAGGGATAGGTCAGGAATGAGTACCTTTTTGAGTGTCTGCATGCGCTAGAATTTTGTATTTCTCATTAGAAAGGATTATAACTGTTTGCAATTGTTAATTTCAGAAACTATAATCTTTTCTGAATCCGACAGTGTAAACGGCTCGTCCGAGGTGCGTTGCTGGCGCGGCCAATAAATTTTCAAAGAAAGCCTACTTTTTGTGCAGATTCAAGTTGTAAATTGGCTATTTCTCGTGTGCTCTGGGAAAGTTTTGTTTACAAGAGAAATTATGGAAGAATTTTTTTTGTTACTAACATATATATTGTCACTTGCGACGTGGATTCAGAGGATGGCAGTATTCTTTGTAAAAAAGCCTTGTGCAGATTTATGGGAATTTTTTCGTAAGTATGGCCACCTATGGGAAAGCATTTCCAGGCGTGAAACCTTATAGCAGCATATAATATTATCTTCTTACATCTAGATCAGAAATATTGCGCCCATGCGTACTAGATGGCGCCACGGTGCTGATACAGGGGCCCGAGTCTTAGCATTGGCCCTAACATTTCCTTTTTCGCATAGACTGTTGACAGAAACACACCGAAGTAGTGGGTTTCTCATATACGGTGTACAGAGGGTATGTTAAGACTAATGTTAAGACTTTAGACTCTTAACTTTATTTCGGACAACGAGCCTATGTTCATCAGGTGGTGCACCGAGATTTTATGATGATGCGTTACAAGCTAGTATAAGTTGGACTCGGTTGCCAAATATTGCATTCTCACTTGATATTTATGAAAACCCAAAATCCTATTAATAGGCATTGGAAATTATTGCGCCCCTACTTTTGACTGCCGCACCTAGAAAACTTCTTTCCAAGACCCCATGGCTGAGACGAAACATAATAATCATTTCGGTGGGGGTGAATTTACCAGTGCACAAACTTGCTGATAAAAGCGTCGTTTAAAACGCTAATCAGTCGAGATCATTGTATCTCATATCTCATATATCTCTAATATAGGCGTTTTGTTAGCGTTACTAGTATGTCTACGTACATTATATTTGTTCACATTATAAGTCAGTGAAATAGAAGTACGATCTCTTTCTCTTTCTCTCTCTCTCTCTCTTTCTCTCTCTCTCTCTCTCTCTTTCTTTCTCTCTCTCTCTCTCTCTCTCTTCTTCTTCTCTCTCTCTCTCT